GATAAATAATATTTATTTAAACCAATTAAATTAATGACAAAAATTGACGAAAATGGAAATCGACAATATTTTTGTTTACATAAAAAGATGAACAAATTAAATTAAAATCATCCTCGTGAAAATTCATTTATGAAATTTGAACTTCGACATAATCAAACATTTACAATTTATTTACACGATGAAATTATTAGAAGTGATCATCGTATACATATTATCATATGATGGAAAATATTTCCGACAAGTATCATCCATAAACCAACAACAAATTGCTGATATTGATATACATATAATACATGAACTCATGGATGTGTGAGGACACACATCTAATAGGAGAGGGGAGGAATGTTAGCGGTGACTCACCCTAATTCCTGCCCCTTGATGTTTTTCCATCTCTCTCTATCTCTTTGTGGTTGTTCTTCTTTTTCTTTTTCTTTTTTATTTTCTCTTCTCTATTGTATCTTGTTATATATATGTACGTGTTGTTAAGGATATTTTGGAGAGGATATATACATTTTAAATAAAATAAACGTAAGCTCGTCGAAGCGAGCTAACAATACCATATGAATAATCGACATGTACATGTGTGGAACCGTAGGCAAGTGAGATGAAAATGAATACTCTTATCTATTCGATCATCAAATTACTATCTATCAATCAATCATCCTTGTTTTTGTTTGGAGAAAGTGCGCTTTATCTAACCTTTACACTAAATGTGTGCTTTATCCTTATTCGATAGTGCAGTAACTCTAGTTGTAAGACGTATTTTGTATCGGTGCACCTTGTAAGATTTTGACGAATGAGATACAACAAAAAGCAGAGTGAAAGCGTGCATTATGCGAGATTGAGTGATTTAAAGTTGAACAAAGCATTCACACGCAAGTACATTATAGTAGCGATTGTCGTGGTGATCGCACTCATGTTTTTCTCTGCTTGTCTGTGGCGACTGCTGCGACGACAGTAAGTCGAGTACTCGAAAGGCGTTGCATAGAATATTTCTCTTTATTAGACATAGTTCCTCTCAAACCGATGATTCAACGAAGAAAATCAGATGTGGAACATGTTTGAATTTAACTTTGACGACAATGTCCCATCAAAAAAACAACAGTGCGACACCTCTGCAATCCAGTGATCTCACAACATTGAGCACTCTTCAAATTAGCAAGCACACTTCAACACTTGAGAACATGATTGCTCATTCTGGT